TTGGGTATTGTGCCTGGTAAGAATTCAAAGAATTTCTTTCTGGACATAGCATCCGCAGGTGCATATACATTGTATACAGCCCACAACAACCCATCGATCTCAAAAGCTGCCCATATACATTTGCCTTCACAATCCTAGAAGTAATCAACAAATTTGATTGGAAGGGTCGGAGATAAGAGAATCGCAACACTCCCCCTTGAGCCAACTGTCAGGGCCCAAAATTGGGAACCCTCTTACCAAAAGAGTTGTTTGTTAATAGCAATTCTATCAAGTTTTGTTTCTTGCAGATACACTATTTCTGATCCATGGTTACGCGCAATAGTTTTAATTGGGGCGTGTTTATGTGCCACTTCACGAGTGCCAAAACCACGCACATTCCAAGATAGAATATTAATTTTATTCATCAATCATTCACAAGGGAGACAATCATCACTAGATGTCCATCTCTCATTCAAGTTGAAGATGACGGGAAAAAAAAAAAAAAAAAAAAGTCAGCAGTATTAACAGTGCAGTTAGCAACTTAGCATCACCGACAAGTTATTCTGCCCATTTCTGCATTATGAGACCAGCAAATCCCGGATAAAAAAGTTTGTATTGTGACGGCATACAGAGATTCACTTCATGTAAGATATGAGTTGTCCAGTACTCCCCAACCAAAGTTGTGAGGGTCATGGCTCCTTCCGGATTAGCAAACAACCTCCAAGCCACCCAACGCGCACCTGATATGTTTGTGACGCCGAAAATGCTGTCATTCTGTTTGGCGTCCAGGAACAAAAAAATGAGTGAAATTTCAACCCCCGTATCTCTGCCCACCGTCTGCGGATGCACTCAGACTTACCTCGGTCATGGTAGCCAAAGGAAGAACTGATGCATATCGTTATCTTTACCCATATGATCTTTCCTCTACTTGGATTGGTACAACATTAACGTGAGCACACCGTCTACCTCGAAGTAGGATAGACCTTTGTTTCCTTTCCCCTATACTCATGCCACTTCTTCAAGATGTTCAGGTGCTTCCAGTCCCAGGATCAGACCACTTGCAATTGCTCTTATCACTAAAACGTGGTCTGAAAATATATAGATACTGGGATCTGTATCGAATCCCAACATCTCTGATTAAAGACCGTCACTTTGTCAAAGAGATGCTTGACATGTTGAAGTTTGAGATTGTCACTTTACCATCACACTATTCACAACCTAGAAGATTAAAAGTGACTTTATCTTCCTTGTCATCCTTTGCTCGTATTCGTGCATTGGCCTAGCGTAGATTGACGAAAACCAACTATCGCAATCGAAAATTTCAAGAAACACTAGTAATGCTGACAGTGTCAACTATTCCTGATGCCAACCTTCTGGATTTGTTCAAACAAGAAACTAACCGACCGGTAATGACTTTTAACCAGCTAGTACATCAAAGAACGCATAACTATGCTGAATCAAAATGGATGTCAATTGGAGACAAAATGACTGAACTCCATTTTAGTAGAGTCCGTCATCCCATGTCGGACTCTATGATTTTGGAATTGGAACATCCTTTTGCTATCCAACAGCCCAATGCACATACAACAAAGGTCATTCTGCAATACGCCACTTTATTTTACACGGATCTCTTGACATCTAGATTCCAAGGAGTGGGTATGGAATGTCACTGCCAACTACACATCTGGGTTGCTCTTCCAGTTGACATTTCTTAGGATTTGAAACTCACCATTGAAGCAGATTTTACTTTGTTGGAGGTGCGTCAAGCGATCAGGCAACTACTTCTTAACAAGCTCCCGACATCGATGGTATTCCCTCATAATTTTCTCGCCCATTTTCTTCATTATTGGTACCAAAAATTTTAAATTGACACAGGTATTGATGGTTGGAGAGTTGATGCGATCAACCCATTTATAGGGAGTACTGACGTTAGTGCACAAGAAAGGATCCAAAACTCAGGTGAAAAATAAACGACCAATAACTCCCACTATAAACCTTTTAAAAGTTATATCACGAATGTTGGCCAATCAAAGGAAGATAACCCTTTCGCACATTATTCACCCTGATCAGACGGGTTTCCTTTAGGGAAGGCAGATTTTGGACACAGTGATGTCTGTCTGTCACGGAATGTAGTATATTAATAGAACTGAACAGAATGTGGGAGTACTACTTCTCGATTTCGAAAAAGCATACGATCGAGTGAATTGAGATTTTCTTTTTTTGGTTACATGTTTCAAAGTCTTGTTCACAGGAGCGACAACAAGTTTGCTGATTAATGGCAAGTTGTCTGACCCAGTAATTTTGTCTCGGTAAGTACGTCAAGGGTGCCTCGTCGAGCGCTATCTCTATATAATTTATATAGAAGCTTTGCATTCAATGTTGCATTCTGATTTACGAGTTATGGGTCTACGATACCCGCTTCAACAGGAAGTCAAAGGCCAAGCCTTTGTTGATGACATCTCCTTATTTTTGTTGCTACAAGACTCTGTTTTTTCGACCTTCAAAAATGTGATTGATTCTTTTGCTGAAGTATCTGAAGCACGAGTTAATTGGCAAAAAACGGTTCTTCTTGTACCCTCACATTGTCAACCACCGATACATTGGGGAATCCAATGTTCATCTTCGGACATACCATCCAGATTGCTAGGTTTTCATTTTTCCTTTGACCGACACATTGGCCAAACAACCCATGACCTTCTTCAAAAAGTCAACATCACATTTCTAATATGAACTCGTTCGAGAGGGGTGTCTCTGATTGGACGTGCGCTTACCTTGAATAATGCTATCTTCTCCAAAATCTGGTATGAGCATGCCATATCACCACTGTCGCCAGGGTTCGACCCTCGGCCCCGGGACCCCGCCGGGGTTCCGGGGTTCCGGGGGTCGGCACCCGGGACCCCGGCCCCCTGTATGGGAAAAAAAAAAAAAAAAAAAAAAAAAAAAAAATCAAAAGAAGAAGAAGAAAAAAAAAAAGAATGTGCGCCTACTTACACTAGCACTATCTTAAATGAATCTAACTCCAGATACGGACGCACCTGTACCTATCTGGCCCCAAGTCTGTCCAGAAATAAGTGAAAAAGTGCTCCTGTGAGTATGCCCTGAAGGCACCGCAGGATTTGTGCTTTTCACCTCAAAGAGGCAGCTGCACAACCGCAAATTATGCAACAATAGAAGCCCACCATAACTGTTACATCAATCAATGCAACAAATAAAAACGAAACGGAATGAGGTGCTATCATCATAGGGGGAAAAAAAGGAAAAAAAATATGCTATCATCGTACTCCACACAATGTCCGTTATCTCAACTGGCCACAGAAGCAAAAGCAATATCAATGAGCCTATAGCTCAGTAGGTACACCTACCAACTGTTGAAATAGTACAAAATTACTACAAAACTCAAGTTGACATCCTTTTACTACCTGATAAACAGACGAATGGTGCTTTCGAGATTACCTGCGGTCGGTCCGTTCAATGGTTTTTTTTTTTTTTTTTTGAAATTAAATAGGATACAGATGATGATAAGTCAAGGCAACGAACGGGCCTAGGCTAAGCTCAGGGCATACTCACAATAGGACCTTTTTACGTATTCCTGGGTGAAATTGTGACCAGATGCGTACGAGTTCGTTCGAAAATGCGGTCGGATAAATTCAGGATAGTGCTAGTGTGAGTATGCCCTCAGTTGGTACACCCAATGAACTGTTGAAATACGGAAGGAAGTTCAAATGCAGCTGCGATCAGAAGAAATCAAATGAGAATTAAACGATCCACTTTGGGTATTGTGCCTGGTAAGAATTCAAAGAATTTCTTTCTGGACATAGCATCCGCAGGTGCATATACATTGTATACAGCCCACAACAACCCATCGATCTCAAAAGCTGCCCATATACATTTGCCTTCACAATCCTAGAAGTAATCAACAAATTTGATTGGAAGGGTCGGAGATAAGAGAATCGCAACACTCCCCCTTGAGCCAACTGTCAGGGCCCAAAATTGGGAACCCTCTTACCAAAAGAGTTGTTTGTTAATAGCAATTCTATCAAGTTTTGTTTCTTGCAGATACACTATTTCTGATCCATGGTTACGCGCAATAGTTTTAATTGGGGCGTGTTTATGTGCCACTTCACGAGTGCCAAAACCACGCACATTCCAAGATAGAATATTAATTTTATTCATCAATCATTCACAAGGGAGACAATCATCACTAGATGTCCATCTCTCATTCAAGTTGAAGATGACGGGAAAAAAAAAAAAAAAAAA